CGGCATAACACAGTCCACGTGCTCATTTGCTTAACAAAAACTAACTCTCTCTCTCCCTCCCTTTCTCTCCAATAGGTATCGGCAGACGCGCTTCAGCTCGCGCCGCATGCGAAAACGTGTCGTCTTCAAGCATGGCGAGTGCAACGTGGTGCAAGGAAACGTGGCCAAGAGACGCCGCCGTTATCTGCAGGTGAGAAGTCTGTTTTAAATTTAGCTACAGATAAACACACACATACATAATATACATATATATATGAGTCGCTAGAGTTATGCAAATGCAGGCATATTTAAATTTACCTTCTATTAGCTCCAATTATCTAACTCAAGTAAAATGCGCCAAAACAAAAATGCGCCAAGTAATGATAAGAAATGGAAATTTAAAAGAAAACCTAAGGGCGGGAGGGTTAGTTCGTTAAACTCATTTAACGTTATAGCTAGTATCTAAATAATAGTTGAACTGGTTCCATATAAGCATTTCCATTTGTTTGTATTAATATGAACCGCATCGTTATCAGAAAATAGTCCAGGATTAGACAAATTTAGTTCATGAACCGAAGTAGACTAGGTCGATTCTTGAGTCTTGGACTACTCTAAACATCTCTCTCTCTCTTTCGTCTCTCCCCCTCTCGACCATCCGCTCTGCAGGACATCTTCACTACCCTCGTGGACGCTCAGTGGCGCTGGACGCTGCTGGTGTTTGCAGCCAGTTTCGTCTTCTCTTGGGCGTTCTTTGGCGTGATCTGGTGGATCATTGCATTTGCCCACAACGATCTGGAGTATATATATCTGCGCAATACACAGCCGGAGCTGATTGCCAATATGACGCACACGGTGTGCGTGACGGAGGTGAAGGGCATGATGACGGCGTTCCTCTACTCGGTGGAGACGCAAACGACCATCGGCTATGGCAATCGCTATGTGACCGAGGAGTGTCCGGAGGCCATATTCACGATGTGTATACAGTGCATCACGGGCGTTTTCATTCAGGCCTTCATGGTGGGCATTGTCTTTGCCAAGCTGTCGCGGCCCAAGAAGCGCGCCCAGACGCTGCTCTTCTCCAGGAATGCGGTGATCTGCCACAGAGATGGAACCCCGTGCCTGATGTTCCGTGTGGGCGATATGCGCAAGTCGCACATCATCGAGGCTCATGTCCGTGCCCAGGTCATACGCAAGAAGGTGACCAAGGAGGGCGAAGTGCTGCCATTCTATCAGCAGGAGCTGCATGTGGGCGCCGATGGGGGTGAGGATCGGCTGATGTTCATCTGGCCAACGACTATTGTGCACAAGATCGATCGCAATAGTCCGCTCTATATGCTCTCCGCCTCGGATATGCTCAAGGAGCGCTTCGAGGTGGTCGTCATGCTGGGTAAGTTTCGCAATAAGCCCCAATCTATCCTGTCTCTAATCTCTGCATCTTCGGCTTACAGAGGGCGTCATCGAGTCCACGGGCATGACGACGCAGGCGCGCAGCAGTTATTTACCCACGGAGATACTGTGGGGCCATCGGTTCGTCAATGTGGTGTCCTTCCGCAAGGAGACGGGCGAGTACGAAGTGGACTACACGCTCTTCAACAACACCTACGACGTGGACACGCCCCTGTGCAGCGCCAAGCAGCTGGACGAGCTCAAGTCGGAGTGCACGCGCAGTGCCAAGAGCGGCATAGGTAAGGCAATCTCTGACCCAATGAGGCATATTAAACTTACTAAAATTTATCTCTATTGATCAGTGCCCTTTGGGGATCGTACGCTCTCCACGGCTAGCATGTTCCAGCGCATTGCATCGGCCGCGTCTGTAGATCATCTCGATCCGGCCAGCGATGAGTCGTTGGACTCGGGCCGTTTGCAAATACGCTCGCATTCCATACCGAACGGCGTCCTGCCCAGCGAACTGGAGCCGCTCAACAACAACAACAACAACAATCACCATGGCCATGGCAAGCACGGCGCCTCGTTCACCATGGGCGGTCACAATATATCCATAACGACAACGGCGCCCAGCATACCCAACCTATCAAGTATTAATGAGAGAACCAACTCCGGTAATTCCATAAACAGCAGCAACTACAGCAACAACAACAGTCTCAGTGCGTTGAATACGATAGCAGCTGCGACCGCTGCACCGCCGACTGGAGCTGCTGCTACTGTCAGCAACAGCAGTCGGGTCAAGCAAGCGAATCCCCGACGACTGAGCATCAAACAGGATCAGCTGCCCATCGATTCTATGTGCTGATATTCAACCCGAGCGAGCGGAGCGAACCCAAACTGATGTTGTATTCTAAGTGTAGGCTCCTAGAATTCTAGTTAGAGTACATAACGTATATACATACATATAGATTGATAGATAGATGTAAGCAGAGCGCTCACTCAAATGTAGCTCTGTTAGCTGTGAACTCCTAAAGATCCCTAGCAAGCGCATACACCCTCCCCCTCCCTGACTATACCAGCAGCAAGTCCTTACCGACGCATCTGGTTTGTATTTAAAAAGCAAACACACAAAAACTTGATGATAATTGATGATTTTAGTATATATTTTCCCGTTAGTGTTAGTTTTAAATGAATTTACTATAGATAAGCTCAAATTGATATTAAAACAACAACAACAAAAAACAAATACCGAAAACGATATAATGAGACCAAAATGCTGCAACTTCCATGTAGAATCGTATAAAGTCTTGAACTATATAAAGCTCATCAATGTGAATGAAGAAAAACACAAAATGTAATGTAATATGATTTTTAAAAGCTACCTTAAACGATGTTTGTTCAATATCTCAATTACCCAATGTATAAATATTCCAAATTATAGCCGAAATGAGCTTCAATTGTTATTAAAAATGTGTGGACAATAAATGGAATGAGCATATGTGAATGTTAATTGATGTATTTTATTTACATATTAAGTGTCGCAAGGATTATAAAAATGAAAAGACCGAGAATATACAAAACACCTGATTGAATATATATTATATAAATATATCTATATACAAAATATAACCTGTTTTATTTTAACATCTATAAACTTGTTTTGCATTTTGCGACAGCCATAAATATTCCTTCGAAATGTTTAGTGAGTTCAAAAAACACATTTGTGCATAAAACTAATTCATGATTTTTGCTGCATACTTTTAGGCAGTCGAATAAATGTCTGCAATTTAGTCTATAGCTGGGATGGAGTAAATATGCTAGGCCTTCTGCTTGATTATAGACTATGGAGGACACTACTTTACTAACTATATAAAAGACAATGTTGTTTATATTTTAAGTTTTTTTTCTTTTTATTTAGTTTTTTTGTTTTCATTTCTCAAAGCATACAAGTTTCTCGATTAAAATCCACATGCACATTTATATAGGAAACATTCAGACAACTGTTTAAAAGATAATATGCTTATATTTATTATACATCCATCTTTGTGTATAAGCAATACTATCCCGCTCAATAATGAGATTTTTTAGATGCAGCCCACATATCATCGTATGTTGGTTAATAAAAGAATCGCATGAAATATTCAAAACATAAGTACTTTTACTTTTACTTTTAATTTAAATATATGTTAATATAATGTGTAAATGTATTTCATTACGTATGTTTGTATGTGTGTGTGTGTGAGTTTAAATGTTTATAGACATAGTAAGGTAAATATTTATTACAATTTACAAACAAATAATTTCGCATTGTTTTGCTACGTTGCGCACATTGTGTTTCGTATTTGCTTAATTATCTTTAGTTATTTATTTTGCGATAATTATTTTGAGATACGCGAAATTAATTGCAACCATTTAACTGTGTAAATATATGCACATGCATATATATATATAGAAACATACATACATTTCACAATATTCTTTCGTTTGTTGTTTCTTGTTTCTGATCTCTGTTTACAGCATTATAAATAAGTTCTGGTTTTTATGCTTTAGGACATTTAAAGAATATTAAATATTAATATTTCTCATGTTTTTTTTTTTGTGTACTTTTTGTTTTTGTTTCACTTTAAACTCTGTTGCGTTCGAATCTTAAATTGTTAAATTTACATTTAGCTCTGGCCTAGTGCACCGAGTGGATCATATAATCAATTAGTTTAATTAAAGCTAAATTATTTAATAAGTATTTACAGATGTTTTGTTTATGAGCTAGCTTAAAGTATTAGTAAATAATACGCTAATTGTTGTTCTCTTAGGGTTTACTTTGTGTTTGTGTATGTGTGGGTGTATTTGCGTATGTGTATTGGTGTACTTAGAGCTAGGCTTCTTATGAGCGAGTCTATGAAATGTCCAGCAATATTTTTTATTTTATTTTGTTTTTTTTTTTCTGATTTTTTTCCGTTTGTTTCAAAACCTTTACAAAACTTGTACCTAACAGCTATTTATACATGTGCTCATCTTTTTTGTTTCTTGTTTTGTTATTTTACAGACTAATATTATAAATGTAAATGGTTTCTAGCATCATAATTCTTTTGGACGACGCATTGATAGTTTTGTGTAAGTGTATATGCAAATGTATATGAGAATGTGTGTGTGTGTGACTGAGGATATTTTTAGTGGGATTTACAAATTGTTTTTCAATACAAGATTTCAGTTAACTGTTGCTGCTTCAAACAATAAAAATTCACAAATTATTTATCACAAGTAAGGTATAAATTTTCGTACCATGCGCTATGGATTCTATGCAATATATGGATATTCATATATAAGAGAAAAACTATGAGGAAAGGCAATTTTAAAGAGATTTTAAAAATAAATAACAAATATATATTGACTAAGTTAGGTTGGGATTGGGGATTGTGGGTGGGAAATGCAAATGCATGTGAAAAACTGAAAAATCCAGCTGCAGTAGCAGAAATTTAAACGTTTCGTTTCGTAGCAGCGTCCTGCAAGCGAATGTTGCCTGCAACATGTTGCGTGCAGCAGAGCAGGCGCAGGTGTAACATAAGAACAAGAACGGCAACCGCTCAGTAATACAGGTAACTGTTGTTGTAGAAATCGTAACGGTAATCGTACGTTGGCTCGCAACATTGTTGCTGCTGCTGCTGATGTTGCTGTTGCAAATTTAGCTGCTGCTGCTGCTGTTGCCGCTGCAGTTGATGATGCTGCTGCTGTTGCTGCTGCTGAAAGTTTGACAACCAACTCGTTGTTGCGGCAATACGCAGCAGATATTTTCATTCCTTGTGATGCTGATGCTGCTGTTGCTGCTGCTGCTGCTGTTGTTGCTGCTGCTGCTGCTGCGGCAAAAGCTGATGATGTTGCTGCTGCAAATGGGGTGGCAGACGTGACTGTTGCTGCTGCTGCTGCTGCAGTGGCACGTGCTGCACCTGATGATGGCCCTGATGCACGCCATGCAACGACGCCTGCTGCTGGCTGCCGCTCGCAGTCACCGCACTGGCGGCTGTTGCCGTGGTGCCATTGTCCGACTTGTCGCGTGGCAGCAAATAGACCGAGCCATCGGCCGCCTGTTGCAGGCTATAGTCAGCCGTGGAGCAGGGATTGCCTTCGGGATCGCGCAGATACTGTGAGTGAGAAAAACGCATTGAGATTAGCTAACTCTTGCAACTGGCGATTCGCCTGAGCTGACAACCCACCTGGAATACGTGGCGATGCAGCATGGAGAACTTGTTGGAGATGCGCTTTCGCTCGGCATCGAGCTGTTCCCGAGCATGATTCAGCTCCGCTTTGCGCTTCACCACCGTGTTGACCTCATCCTCCAGCGTGAGTATCTGGTCCAGTTTGCGCTTGCGGCAATTCTGGGCGGCCACCTTGTTCTTGCCACGCCGCCGGATGTCGCGTATCAGCGACAACTGCGTCTCACTCAGATCGTATTTGGACAGCCGCTCGTTGAACTCGTCCATGGGCAGGTTGATGATGTCGCCCACTGCTATGGGTATGTTCAGGGCGCGTGCCCGCTTCTCGTCCCGCGATAGATGCTCCTCCTCCATGCCGTTGCCTGCGCCGCTGCTGTTCGACTTCGAGGCATGTTTGTTGGCTGTCGGCGGCTTCTTGTCTCGGGGATGCGGTCTGCTTAGCGATACACTTCCTTGGGGCAGCGCTCCGGCGCCTCCCTGCTGCAGTGCGTACGTGTGATTCAGCTGAACCACGCCCTGGGGCGTCAATGGAGCGCGTGGCATGCCATAGTCGGCGGTGAAGGCGCTGGCCGCGCTCATGCCATAGGCCTGGTGATAGTCCTTGGACAGGACGGGCGCCATTGCAGCTGCCTCGCCCACATTGCTGCCCGCAAAGGCCGCAGCGCCCGCCTCGTACTCGTACTTGATGCTCTGCACCTGCGGCTGCTGTTGCTGCTGCTGCGACTGGGGCGTGGCTGCCACGGGGGCCGCTGTGGCCGTCAGTGCGCTGGGCGTTTGCTTGTGCAGATCCCGCTTGCCGTACAACTGATGCTTCTTCTGGGCCACCGGCGGCTGGCGCGTATTGTTGTTGTAGCTAAAGTCGTACGGCCCTCCGTATTTGGCCTGATGATAGTCCTGCGCCGAGTCGCTGCCCTCGCCCCACTCACCATCGGAGAGCGATGGCACACGCTCCGAGCCCATCGAGCTAACCGCACTGTCACTGGACGCGTCCAAACGATCCGTTCCGCCCTGTGCTCCGCCACCATTTGCCAATAGGTCACTGGTCATGCCACCCACACCGGCTGCACCCACAGCTCCAGCTGCGCCCGCAGCTGCTACGCCGCTCATAGAGCCAACACCACCGACTGCACCACCACCACCAGCTACGCTGTTGGCATTCGCATGGCTGCCTACGTTCAGAGTGGAGCTGCCCGCGTTGCTCACATGTCCACTGCTGGGCAGGCCCAGCACCGAGGAAGTGTTGCTCGTGCTATTGTCCACCATGCGACAGAAGCCTGTGCAAGAAAGAGATAGAGAAGGGGAATTAGTTACATTTTATATGATACAAACTTGAAATTTCTTTGACTAATTTGAATTAAAATCTATTATTATTTATACAATATAATGATATATTGAAACAGTTAAGAAATAATTGAGCTAGTATCCCAGCAAATACATACATCTTAACTTTAGACTCATTTATAAGTAATTCCCTGATACTCTGTAGTATTTCGAATTGAGTTGGTTCCGCGACTAAAGAGTTGGCTAGTTCCACAGAGATAAGCAGGTTCATTCAGCCAGCTCTTACTGTACACATTCACTCTCTACGTAGATTAGCAATTTCTGCACTCATCGATTATTCAGCACAATTTGCCGTATTCGTAAAGCGTGCAATCATCTCACACGCTCGGCTTATCGTCTGCTTTGACTCTCCTTATCTACACACATACATACATATGTATGTACAGAAATATATACCCGGCTATCAGTGCCAGGCAGTCCCCAAGCTACCAGGTCTACCGTGTCTTTCACTCTATATAGTTATATTTGGGTGTAGCTCGCTAGCTACGTATATACAGCTCTATATACTACACGTATACCCATGTTCAAGACAATGTCTGTTGAGCGTTCTTTTCGGGTCTCTTATTTCATTATCTTATCGTCGTCTTGCACATTGAACCATGTGATCTTATATACTGTGCTGAAGAAGCGTATAAACGGTATCAACGGAAACAATTCTGTAAATATAACATCCCATTTCTAATTTAAGAAAATATAAATCGCAAATTTTGCAATAAGACACTCTAATGGAACAATATGGGAATGAAACTGAATTCACTTATATATTCATGATTTTAAAAGTTATATAGTTCCTTACGTTATTCGTAGAACTGATAAGCCGCAATCATTATCGTCACACTAGAGGGCATGTAATTAAGTCAATTTTTGGCTCATTATTTGTATGTGTGAGCGGATTAAGCTAACCTGTTATAAGATCATACATGCACACACACTTACATATAGTGCCTAAGTATATGTATATGTGTGCATGTAGCTAGTCTGCCTAAGTACGTCTGCCGGCTGGGCAAGGTCAAGCCCATAAACATTGATGACTGGGCAAAATTTTATACAAAATTGTAGGTCGAAGTTATCAGTGGGCCAAGTGCAATAAATACGCCCTGGAACTTGCCACGATTATAACAAATTCAAATAGAAAATAACGAGCACAAAATAATATAAGAAACCCAACGTATAACGGAAGTTATATGAAGATAACAGTTAATGCTTTTGCACGTTTTAGCTGCTGGCTAAACGGAATGCGCTCATACACACATACATTATCCGTCTCTATGTATATGCTGTCTTTGTCTAAAAATGTCGCAAACGTAAACACGTAACCCAATAACGTAATTTTTAACTTTTTTGTCATTTTATGCCAGAAATGCATCGAGACAAAGAGAGTGAAAAAGAAAGAAATAGAGAGAGACAAAGAGAGTGGGTAAGAATGAGATAGAGAGAGAGATGCGACATCAACAATAAGTGCGTACATATTATAAACATTTATAAATTGAGCACGCTAGAATATAACGAGCCAACGATATAGTACGAATAAACACATACAAATATATACATACATCTACTCATACATATAATTTCTGATATTGTGCTTTAACGTTATTGCTTCGAATGAGATGACTCAGCAGTTTAAAAATAGTAAACAGCCAACGGCGACAGCAACAAAACTTGCTGAGCGTGCATTAGAGAGAGAGAATGTCGTTGTCAGTTTGTGTGCCTATGTGTGTGTGCGCACGCGAGAGCGTGAGAGAATGGTGAGCGCGTGAGAGTGCGCGCTTTAGAACACTGTCGATGTCGTCGCTGCGCAACTTTGCTGATATCAGCAGCAGCAGTAGCAGCCGCAGCAGAGCTGGTTGCGCAGCATGACTAATGAAAAAAATTGTTACGCGGCAAATAATTAAATGGGGTTTGTGCTTTTGATGCTAACATTTCGTACGTCCGAGCATAAAAATAAAACACCGACTGCGCTGACGGAGGCGGCGACCACCACCCGCACTGGGCGCCGACGCCAATGCCTCTGCCTCCGCTTCGGCCAGGGCCGCTGTCTATGCCGCTCGCTGACACTGCCGCCACTTTTCTTTCAGGCGCTATCAAATGCTCTGCTTAATTTCACACATACATATTTCCCCTCACTCTCACCTGTTGATTTGCGTATTGAGTAGTCTGGCCAGCCGTTTTTGGGGCTGATTCTCGTGTTCGTTTGCTCGATTATTTTCGATGTTTTATTTTATTTATCTAATTTTTTTTCTTTTCGCTCACAAATACGTTACTCGCGCGTCATCAAACGTTCTAAATTCGTGATGCACCAATACATCTGAGTTTGCATGGATGTGTATGTGTGTGTTTGTCAGTCCGTGTATCGCGTATGTATGAATTCTAGTATGTTTAGCAATGTCTAACGTTTGCTTAATGTGCCAAGTGCGTCATTGTTTCATTTATCAGTGCGTTTTTCTCTAAAACTCTTAATTAATTTCATTTGTAGTCACGTTTATTGCACGTAATCAGTTTCCTCCTTTTTTAAATATTATTGTTTTCTTTTTTTTCTATATTTCATTAAATATATGTACATATTTACTTCACTATCGTATTCGATTGTTCGTGTTCGACTGATTGACTCGGACTCGTGCGGTGTTCTTGCTGCTTTGCTTTGCTTTTCTCATGCTCATTTTTAATTTTTTGCCTGAATTGAGCGCGAAACACGAGCGGGCCGAGTTGTCGGCAAGAGCCGAACGTGGCAACGATCGAGCTCTGACGCCGCAGAGCAAACGCTGTTATTCTTCACTCAAATTTAAACTAATTTTACGAATTTTATGCTAATCAGAACACCACAAAGCAGTGCAGAGCAATAACAATGCGAACAGCTAAATGTGCCAGCAGCAACAACAACACAGATATGTATGACGCGACAGTCAAAAAAGCTCATCAGTTTTCAAGTTCTCGTGCGCGTATGTTTTGTTGTTGCTCAGCTTGCGCAAGTGTGTGTGTGCGTTTTATTTCATTCGTTTTGTGCCCGCTCAACTGGAGTGAGTGATGTTCTTGAGTGAAAGCTTTGACCGAGCACAGAGCGCATGTGGGTGTGACTCAAACTGAACTCGCCCTGGCTTTTGGCATATGTAAATGCTTGACACCATGTTGCAATTATTGTATACAAGTTTTATGATAGTAGATTCCTGAATTTTATAGTAATATAAAAAATGGAGAACAGAAAATGTACATAATTACATATATACATACATACATAGATAATACATTAATTACAAGCGCTCTCTACATTTCTAAAAAATGCTTAGTCAACATAGAAATTTTTTTTTTAGCTTTTTGACTAAATAAAATTTACGAGAATTACCTATCTCAATCTGTAGAAAAATATTTAATAAAAATTCTTTAAGCACTTCCGCCTGAGTTTCTAACATAAAATGTTTCCAATTCGCTATGAGCTTTAAGCTCACATGAAAGCAGCTGAACAAAAATAAAACTTTATGTAGCAACGGAATCCATTGTTCGCTGCCCATGTCTAATGTAATTATGAAAAGCTCTGATGTAACTGGCTTTATGACAGAGCTAACTTTAAATTATTATCAGTCTTGACTGCAGTGCTTTTATATTTAGTATATTAGCTTATTTTGAAATAGAGACATTGTTAATCACTTACTATCTGTCATATCCATCAAGTGAAGATCCTCATCATTGAAAAAGGAGTTGATTAAACCATCTGTGTGATTCACGTCCGAAGAGGTGTTCTATAGATAACAAATCGTTTAGCACTCTGAGCATAGGGATCATAATTCATGTTCGATCATACCGCATAATACATCATCTCGTGTTCCATTTTGTAGTTGCTGCTGGCAGCGGCAGCGGCGGCCGCTGCAGCCGCAGCAGCAGCAGCGCCGTCCGCGTCATGGCTGGCGTTGGTCAAATGCATGCTGGACGAGACGGCCGAGCCCAGATTGTGACCGTAATGCGGCTGGCCACCGGCGGCCGAGCAGAGGTCACCCAATGTCGAATTGGCATGCAGCATAGCGGCGTGGTGGCCATGGCTGTGGCCATGGTGCGGGCCGGATGACGGTGGCGGCGGCGGCGGCAACGTGGCAGCCGCCGACTGACCGTACTGTGCCGCGTGCTGGGCGCTGGGTGGGACGCCGGGACTCTGGTACGAGTAGCTGGTATAGTGTGGCGGATAGGGCGGCATATCGGAGACGCCGCCGACCACGCCCATGCTCGGTATGGGGCTAAAGTAGGTGGCCAGGTCCTGCAAGCGATCCATCGAAACGGTGCGATTCAGGCGCGGCATGCGGCCCTGTGGAAAGGAAAATGCAGACCAAATGATTAAATTGTGTGTGTGTGTGTGTGTGTGTGTGTGTGAGTGTGTAAGTGTATGAAAACGAGAAGCTGCACAAACTGTTGATGTATTAACAAGAAACGAGAAGGGCTTAGAGACCAACAGGGAGACATGGAGAGGGAGAGCGCGGCCTGCTCATTGTGAAATATACTAATAAATAAGCGATCAATCATGCAAGACTCCGTTTACGGAATTCTCTAGAAATGCGCAACAATAAGCCGCAGACAAGACACGAAAAAAAAAAACAGCTATAAATAATAAAAAATAAATATAAATATAAAAAAAAAAAACTAAATTCAAATTGCGCTGCAAGTAAAGCCAGGCTTGTTGTTGTTTGTCTGCCTGTCCGTCCGTCTCACTGACTGTCTGTTCGTCTGTCTCGGCGATCGGTTAAGCCAAAAAACGTGCACAATGTATCAATCGGGCGATTTCTGTTGTTGCCCAAAAGATCGATCAACATGAAATTGAAATGAAACATTTTCGTTCTTTTTTTTTTTTTCATATCGTTTCACAGTTTGACAAGTGCCACAGCCAGCGGTCGGTCTTCGATTTGGGTTGCCTTTCAGCCTTTCAGCTTCAGCTTCAGCATCAGCTATATCTGAATCTGCATCTGTAGCTGTAGCTGTATCTAACTGATCGACAGAGTTCGTGCTGTGAGACGACTTCATTAGTTGAGCTTTTGTTATTCTTAATTATCGCTTTGGTTTATTTATTTGCTTAACTAATGCCAGACGAGCTCTTCGCATTGCATACAGCCAGGCGTGGGCGCCGGCCTAAAATATATGCACATATATTAACACACACACCAACAAAGAGAAAGAGAGAGAGGGAGAGAGAGATAGAGACAGTGAGAGAACGCGAGGATCTCGCACGTTCCTCGAAACAATTTGTTAAACGCCGCAATTAAGCGCTAAAAGCCGCAAAGCCATCAAAAAGAAACAAAACCGGGCCCAAATCATATTCGAAATTGAAGGATGCGGCCGGCATTGACATTCAGATTGAGTTGCAGATAAATTCCAGCAAACACGAAATATGACGCGACGGGCCTTGAGTAGGTGTAAAGTAAAAGAGCAAAAAAAAAAGAAAAGAAACACACACACACACGCATACAGCAAAGATGCATTTAAAAAAAGTAAAGAACGAACCGAAATTGAACTAAAACTGAAATGAACCGAACCGGTGAACGGCTGAATGTCGACTTTGACTCCTTGACTGGGGAACGAGACAACGTTGACTGACAGTTGCGCGGATACAGATACAGATACAGATACAGATACAAATGTTGATGTTGAGATACAGATGCAAAGGCAAGGCGAATGCAGTGAGTATCTGTGCGCATGTGTGTGTGTATGTGTGTGAGGCTGTATAAACAACTATATACACATACATCTCTAATATATGCCTCGACACGCTCTTCTCGGCAAACAGGTAAGACAACAAGCCAAAGCCAGTTGCCAGGGCAGGTAAACGGGGCGTTTACTTTTGGCCAGTTGCATGTGCATGTGCTTCTGGTTTCTATGTGTGTGTGTGTGTGTGCGTCTATGATTGTATGTGTCTGGGCGTCTGTGTGTAATTTCAATTGTCACTGTCTTGTCATTAACTTCTGGTGTTAGTTTGCCAGCCACTGGCCATTGTTTTGTCGCGTTTCACACGCAAAGCAAAGCCAAGTGTTGAGGCTTAGATACGGTAGCTGGCTAACAAATCGACACACACACACACTTATAGCCATTTCTTGATCTGTTGCTGTCTGCTTTCATTGAAGTTGTTTGCCGTTAGATTCAGCCTGCAGCCGCTAGAACTTCTTGGAGTACCGTTTGCAGTAGGCTCTCAACGATATTCGATATGCTCGACAGATCGTAACTATGCAGTTATAGAAGCTTAAATACGATAATTAACTAAGCAGCTTAACACTTGAGTCTCTGTGTTTAATCAATTCAATTGATTAAATTGATGGGATTAGGCACATAGATATGGGATAAGAGAGCTAGACGAGTATATTATTTAGAGTGGGTTGTAATACAAATTCCGTGAAGCTTGCCCTGACTTAAGACGAGTTCTATATACTTTTAAGGACAGTCATATCTTCCACTAATACTAACTAGTTTTATGTTTTTATATATTTATTTATATTCATATATTTATATTTATATTAAACATAATTCTAAATTTTTAGCAATAACTACACAGTTTACTAAACAAGCCTTAAACTGCAATTGCTTTGTAGTACTTCAAAATAAAGCCAATGTTATTTCAATTATTTTTAGCTTTCATAACAGATTCTCAAAAAAAAAAATAAAAACCAAAAATTATTCTATTATGATTGGCGCGATTCTCTTTTATATTTAAGCTTCTTTCACTTGGTGTGAATACCCCCATTATTGAGACTCTCAAATCTCTTAAGGCGATCGTCTATCGTCATCGATTGGACTGTGTAAAGAAATCAGAATTATATCTTGCTGAAATGTCATGATATACCATTG